GGAGGGGGGGGGACGGAGAGGGGCCCGGAAAGGGGCGCGCGGTGGCCGGGGCGGCACGGGGCGCGGGGCGGGGCGCGAGCCCGGAGGCGGTCGGCCGCCGAGCGCCCCGGCGGGGCGGGCGGCGCGCCAGCTGCCCGCGGTGGGAGGGGCGGAGCGGCGGCGGCGCGGGGAGGGGACCGGCGGCGGCAGGAGGGGGAGCGGCAGGGGAGGGGCCGGGCCCCTTGTCTCCGCGGCTCCTCGGCTCAGTCCGCCCGGGGAGGAGGAGCGGGGCCAGCCGCCGCCGCCGCCGCCGTCCCAGCTTCGCCGCGCACCTGAGCTCGCCGGCCGCCCCGGGTCCCCGCGCTGCGCCCCGCGCCCCGGGCGCCCGGCCCGCGCGCAGCCAGCTTCGGTGTCCCGGTGGGGCGCGTCCCCCGGGCTGCCTCCCGCTCTCCCGCTGCTCGCGTGGCCGCGCCTTTGTGTGCCGCGGCCGCAGCTCCCGGGCTCGTCGGCGGCCCCCGCGCGACGCCCCTCTAGCCCCAAGGCCCGCGCGCTGTTCCCGGGCGCCCCCGGCCGGGTGTCCCCGACGGTGGATCGCGCGGCCGCGAGGAGGCGGCCAGCGGCCCCGGCGAGCTCCAGTCCCGGCCCCAAGCCCCCGGCCCCGGCATGGATGTGAGGTTTTACCCCGCGGCGGCCGGGGACCCCGCCAGCCTGGACTTCGCGCAGTGCCTGGGGTACTACGGCTACAGCAAGGTGACCGGGCCAGGGGCGGGGGCCACCTCTTCTTCCCGGGCGCGTCCCGCGTCCCTTTAGCTTGCTTTACTTTCTTTCCTGTCTTTCCTTCCCAGCCGCTGGTATTCTAGGTGCGCCTTCGTCTTTGACCAACTCTCCTAGTCTTCTTTTTCTGTCCCCTTCCTACCCACCTTTTTGTCCCTCTGCTGGCGCTCCCTCTGCCCTCCAGATCCCCTCCCCCGCTCCCCCAAAGCTGAGTGAAGCGCAGTCCCGGGACTGAGCTGAGGCATCCATGTGATTCTTTGTTGATGTTATTAGTCAACACGATTGCAACACCCCTACTATGTGTATGGGGGGGGCACGCTACGTAGGGGTCCACATCTCGTGGTCCAGAGATCTCGCCCTCCTCCTCGCAAGCTCATCCCAGCTCGTCCACTCAGTCAGGAGCTCGTCCCTGGTGCTCGGGGAAGATGAGGAACAAACTTTACAGAGTGCCCGGGTCTAGGTCTGGGAAGCCTGAAGTTGTAGGGTCCCAGCAGGTGCCTCTTTCTAGGGTGCTTTGCTCTACCAGAGGAAGGTGCTCGCCTCTCTCGAGTTAGCGCAAGTGGCTTCTCCTATTTTAGTTATTTATTTTTGCGGGGGCGGGTTAAGTTTTTTCTTTCATGGAGATCAGAGTTGCAGTTTCCTACCATGCCCCGGGGTCACCCCATCTTCCGCACCTCTTGCCACACGAACTTACAGGAGCGAGCGATTCAGGTGGCCACAGAAGGACCTCGGACACAGCCAGTGGGCTTCCCGGGCCGGGTCGTCTATCCCACCACAGAGCTTTGAGACATAACCCCGAGGGCGAGATTCAGAGAAAGAGCCCTGCGCCTTTTGAATGTGTTTTTCTTTCCCCTTCCCCCTGCACCTCCCTCCCCTCCGACTTCTCTTTCAAATCCTAGTTTGTTTATGATTGCTTGGATAACGGAGGAGGAAATACCGAGGCAGCTGAAAGAAAGGTGCAATACAAAACTAATGAATAAATAGCAGGAAGAGGAGGGATCGTATCTAGAGTCCGGACAGTTGGCTGTGCCCCTGGCTGATGAAGGCCCTGTCCCTTATTGTTTACACTCCTGCCCAACTCCAGAGGTAAAGTTTGCAGAAGACCATTGGAGCCTCACTGGCTCCATTCCGGGTCAGGGTGGACAGCCCTGAGCCAGGCACTCGGGGCCCTTTCCGTAACTACTGCTCCGAGGGACTTTATTCAGTGTTTTCAGTCCAGTGCTGGTGGTGCCCATTCATATTCCCCCAGAATCTGAAATGAATGCTTAAGGCATCGAAAGCCAGGCAAGAAAAGGCCGAACGCTGTAGCCAGAGTGAAGGAAGGATCGGCTTCTGTCGTCTGATTTTGGATTTACTCAGGTTATTAAATGCTTTAAAAAGTCCCCCATGTATGCTCAGTCAGGGACTTAGGCAGCCTAATTAAGTATGTAGTGTTTCTGAGAATCCGCTTAATTGTTCCAGTGGGGTGTTAGTTATCTCCTTTAGAGCTCAGCCTGTGTATGTAGTCCTTCTGTAAACTGGGCATGCTCTTATTTTGGGAAGCCATTACCTTGTCTAATGTAACCACTTCTTTCACTGATTTAAGATCAGCAACACTCGAATGACATCCAAATAGAAACCTTTTGTATTAAGCCAGTCACTGCCATGCATGGCAAATCTCTGTTCCCTGGGATCCCAAGGGCTTCGAGGGACTGAGGAAATTGTGGGTGTTTTGTGTGTATCTCCTTTCATTTTCTGAGAATGGTTATTTTGAGTCATTTTAAACCCAGAAGCTTATTTCAGGGAGGGGATATAAAGCTTGAAATCAGACAGCATTTGTCTAGATGCCGGGCCAACTTTAGCGGTGGGGAAGCAAGCTAGCTCATTTGGTGTCCATTTCTGAATCCTTCGATGGCCCTGAAATGCTCTTAGTAATTCAGCAGTCTGATGATGGGAAGGGCTTCTGGGGGCCCAACTTACAAAAGTTGGATTCAGCACTTAGCATTGGGAGGGGTCAAACTGTACTCATTCGAAGGTGTGTCTGTCTTTACGTGTTCACAGGTAAAAATGTAAGTACCTTTAGACTTGAGCCACAGTACAAATACAGTATTTGTATACCCTTAATTTCTGCAGTGGACAGAAAAACAAAACAAAACAGTTTTAGTCCCTGTAATTTATCTTTGTACGAGAATGTAACAGAAGTGGAAGTATTAACTTTATGAGTACAGAACAGCAAGAGCTAATTAAAGGTTTACAGCGTTTGCTTCACAGCTAACTTGCATTTCACGTGGAGCTCGTTGCCTGCTGTTCAGGGTAGATTTATTGAAGATTTAAAACAGTGCACAAAGACATACGTTTATTTCATCTGAAAGTACCTGGAATTATTAATCTTTCTTAAGGCTTGACTTTCCAAGACTTGTATTATCTCTTTGAATGAGAGATGATGGATTACAAAAAAGTATGTTTCTGCCTTTTCTTGTTTTAATGACCATCTGGGAAACTTCAGAAGAAAGCAAACTATCCGTGCCAGGGTTTCACAGGGAAAATGCTAGCGCTTATCTTTACATTTATTTACAAACCGTGAATAATAGGGTTCCATTCACTTCTCCTTTTAACAAATGGCCAGAGTTCTTTGTATAAATTATATGTGAGTGTATTATCTCTACGTTCTGTGAGTATATGGGTCTTTTTTTTTTTTTTTTTTTAAATGTCAGCTCTCATGAAAGTATACTATCTATGGAAAATGGATGAAAGAGTTTGGACGGTTCAGAAGTCATTGCAAGTAGGAGAATAACTTCAAATAAAATATAGCCAGGATCATTTAAATCAGTTAATAATTCATGAATTAGCCACTGATGTATAAACTTAAAGCCCTGTCTATTTTCTAAGGACTAATTTCCATTTTAATTTCAATCTGCTGTTTGAAAATTTCTTTTTAATGATGTGACTAGCAAGTTGAACTAAAATCTATATTTTAAAAAGGAGAGAAGTCATTATGTTACTCAAGTGAGTTGGTGACCCATTGACTAATCTGGAGTTTCCCTTGGGTTCAGTTAATTTTATTGTACCAGCAAGAAAATAGTGCATAAAATATCAATTAAAATGAAGTTGTTGTAAGTCTGCTGTCCCCAAATAAGCAAATGCATCTAACATGGGTGTGAGGTGAAAATCATACAGAAGTTGATTTGTTTAAGACTTTCGGCTTTTTATTTTCTTTTCAAAATATGGCTATTGACTTCTTATACTTAGGCAGATTAAGGCCTCAGCCTTAAGCCTCACTTTCTCATTTTTATGTGTGTTGTTATTGATCATCCGTACTTAATTAAGACATTCTCTTGTTTGCTCTTTGAGTCCATCTTATTGGGCCTCTACCTTGGCTATCTTGAAGTAAAAGAGAGACTGAAGGCTAATTTGTTCCTTGTCTCTCTTCCTGGGGACCATGTTTTCAAATTGAAGTGATGCTGAGAGGAGATTTTGATGGATATATCCTAGATCAATATCTTACCCTGACATGAGATTAGTTACTTCATTTCTAGGATCCAGAGTATAAGGCTGTTGAATTCTGAAAACACATTGAGATATTTCTGTACCCCTCCATGACAGGTCTTGAAATGAGATATTCAAGCCAGATCTTGGGAAAGAAATGGTATTTTAAAGAATTGCTAGCAGTGGTGAAACACTCAGAAATCTATAGGGACAGGCAGCGACCTGCGTGAGGACAGGGCTTGTGGCTAGGCAGAAAACAACACCCATTTAAAGGCGTGGACTTGTTCAACACTAGCTAGAGTACTATCACCATGACAACATTGGGGCCCTGTACATCCATATTTTGAAGCTATGTGAAGTACTCACAGTTTTAAAAGTTGACAGTAAATTGAATAATTAATCTAATTGTATGGGACCATCAAAATCTACTTTTGTGATGCCATCCAACTTTGATCTTAAACGAGTTTGTAAGTGGAATGGGACTCAGGTTGTTTGTTTTTGGTAAGTCATTTGTAGTTTATGTGCTATTATATGGGACATTTAGCTGCTCTGTTCAAGAATGTGGTCTGTGTAGTATTAGAATCACATCAGCAAAGATCTGGGTACTGTGATAACTGTAAAATTGACTAGACTTTGGGCAGAAGGAAAGTTAGTATGTACGCTCATGGTCTGGATAGCCCCTTCATCATATCAGACATTAACACTAGCCATGCCCTGAATTTCATATCACCTGACAGTGTAGCTGTATTGATGTTGCTCAGTTGACGTGTACATATATTTTGCAGACATTTGTTTATATATTTCTTAGTTTTCATTTTATTGCTTGCCTCGTATGCCCCTCCCCCATCCCACACATATACAGCTTTAAATAGTTGTACAGGCCATTGAGAAACTTGCAGTCCAGGCTGTCTGGCCAATAGTGACAAAGGAGGACAGTAGCCCAGTGGTCACAAGCTAGAGGCCCACATGCTTTCCACTTGGTCACTCCAAAAAGTGGGGTGCCGAAATGAACCCTGGGCTCATAGGGACAGGCACATAGTTAAGCAAAGGAAATTAATCTGAGGGATTTTAGATTAAGCCAGTGGGTTTATGTGGTCACAGTGTTCAGGGTATGTTGCTATTTCTGAATCATTCTGTCAGGGCACAAACTCAGCTGGAAGCTGAAGCCACTTGAGGAGTTACTTTATTTAATCACCACAGTATAAAAAAAATAAACAAAACACCCTCAATTAGTTGACTGTTCCTAAAAACCCTTGCATATAAATAGAGCTTCCAGCTTTTTGATTTCTTTTTTTTAAAGAAATAGTCACAAATTTGGTAACACTGAATCTATGGCCAGGCATCCTCCAGAAGCACTTCTGAGGGGCACATGTGCCCAACACTGTTTGTGAGCTTCTTGACTTCCTGTTCAGCTCCATAGACCCTCCGCATTCCTCTCAGGTGCTGCAAAGATTGGAGTTCGACGACTTTCATTACAAGGAGATCCCAGGAAACAAATGAGGCCTCCCGCA